CCTCCCCTGTGTCGTGGGGGACAGTGCTGTTGTGGGTTGCTGTTTTTGGCATTTAGTGTCCACTTCTGAAGTGACGATTCCTCATTGGCGCGGTGCCATCCCTGGGGGAGTAGCTGGGAAAGGTGGAGGCGCTGGGCAGTGGCTGGAGGATGGAAGTTTCTGATGTAGTAGCTGGGGGTGGGGGAGTTCAGAGGGAGCAGCTGAGGGGAGGGGAGGTGCTGAGGGAGAAGCCAGAGTGGGGGAGGTGCTGGGGAAGGGGGGGTGCTGTGGAAGCCACTGTGGGGGTGGGCAGTGGCCTGCTGGAGGTGGCCCAGCAGGATGTGGCTGCAGGTGGTCTGAGCTGGCCTTGGAAACCACTCTGCAGTCCTGCAGGACTCTGCCCTCCCCCTTCTGGGGAGAACAAATAAGCACTTAATTAAGGTGCCTAATTGCCTTGAAAGAAGTATAAAAAATATTTACGCCAGGCGCCTTGTGGTTTATAGCTCCATTTTCAAAAATTAGTTGAGTTGAACCAACTGGAAAAATCTAGAAGAAAGCAGAATGAAAATACATGAAGGGAGTCGCGTGCTCTTTTTCCCTGTGGGGATGGGACCCAGCCCCGAACCTGTGTCACCGCCCAACAGGCTCCACCCTGTGACCCTGTCCTGGTGTCCTCTGTAAATGTCACTTTGAACATTCTGGATAGAAAACGTTCTCGGTCAAGTTTTGCTGGTGATTCAAGTCAGTTTTTTAATTTTTAAAATATTTTTGGTGGTGTTCTTTTTTTTGGTCTTATTGTTTTGAAACTGGGGGGGTCGAATCTAGGGCTTTGCCACTGAGCCACACCCCAGTCCTCGAGTCAATCTTTAAAAGTGAATTTAGGTGGAACATTGGAAGTGACCTGAACGTCCAGCATCGTCATATTTAATTATGGAACAGTAGCCATGATGCGGTGCTCAGGGGCGCTGTGGGATCAGCAGTGGGGTGCACAGGACTGCAGGGACCTAATGTCACCCGTGGGGGTCCCACCTCCTTCCTGCCACCCACAGGCCCCAGGTCCTTCCTCTTTCTTGAAATTCAGGTCTCAGTCTGGCAGCGACATGGTCACAAACTGCCTGTTGGGTCACAGTGGAGTGACTGGGGCCCTGCCGTCCAGTGTGGCCATCGGGCTGCCCTTCCTGGATGGGGCTAGGGTGCTGCCCTCTTTAGCTGGGCTGGCACGTTCTTCCCCCCGCCCCGTGAACCGTGCCCTCGTTTCTTAGAATAAGAAATTCCAACCAGATATCCAGCTGCCGGAAATGCACGTCTGCCTGCCGGTGGGGAAAACGGCCATTTAGATGAGATTGACTTAGTAGAGTTCCTCTAGGAAGACGCCAGAAATGGGAGGTGTTTTTTTTAATAGTTATTACCTCTTTGTTAAGAAAACATTTTGGGGCTGGGGCTGGGGCTCAGTGTGTGACATGGGTGAGGCCCTGGGTTCGATCCTCAGCACCGCATATAAATAAATGAATAAAATGAAAGATCCGTTGACAACTAAAAAATATTAAAAAAAAAGAAAACATTGCCAGAAATGTTTTCTTTGCTAGCCTTTTCTGAGTTCTGAAAATCTCTACAATTACATTATCTTTTGATGTCAGGTTTAAAATATTCTCTTTTTGTAGTGGGGATTGATTGTAGCAAGGCCCTTTGCCCTTTACCACCAAGCCATATCCCTGTCCCTTTTGATTTATTTATTTATTTTTACTTAGAGATAAGGCCTTGCTAAAGTGCCCAGGCCGGCCTTGAACTTGCAGTCCTCCTGCCTCAGCCTGGCTTCCGATGAAAAATATTCTAATTAGAAAAGTTGGTGCGTGAGATATGAGTTAAGGTAGTTTTAAAGAATCCAGATTATGAAAGGTTAGGTGCTCCCCACGGCAGGCCAGACCTGTTCACTTCCTGGGTTCAGTTTTCGTCTAACAGATCGTTCTTTTGAACAGGCGAGTGGCCACCCACCGTATGCCTTCACGGTGGGAACGTACCACACACACCACCGGGAACCGTAGGTCTTAGCACCCTCTCTTACCAATGGCAGCTTTATTCTTTTTAACCATGCCTAGTATTGCACCCTAGGGCTGGGCATGACTTTTGCATATTAAGAAAAGTATGCCCCATGACTTAGGATGCAGTTATGTCTGGATAAATCCGTGGTAAGTTGAAACTATGGTAAGTACATAATGCATTTGAGACACCTAACCTGCTGACCTTCCTAGCTTAGCCACACAGCACGCTGCAGAGTGTCCCCTGCCCCCTGCCCCCCAGGTCATCGGGTGGCTGACAGGGAGCTGTGGCTTGCGGATGCTGCCTAGCATCCTGGGAGAGGATCTCCCACATATCTCAAGCCTGGGAGAAGACCAGAATTCCAGGTATGGTCCTGCGGAATGTGTGTCACTTTTGAACCGTCATGAAGTTGGGAAGCCACTGAGCTGAGTCCTGGTAAGTCAGGACTGTGTGACACACAGGTGCTGATGAATTCTTCTAGAGGTTTCTGGAGTTTTCCTGCTGGGTAACCTTGCACTGGGGCCTCTGGCCCCCGTGGGTGAGTCCTGGTGGACGGCTGCCGGGTCAGAGGGTGCACGTGCAGTACCTTGGCCCCCACTCCTCACCTTGCTCTTCAAGGCCAGTCTGCCCGGCGGTCAGTTGATGCTCAGTTGATACTTGAACTCTGCTAGCTGCAGTGGTGTTGGTGAGAAGCAGCAGTGTGTTCCAGTGTGCGTCCCCACCCCTGTGGGGCAGGTCCTGGAGTGCTGGTCCCAGCGGAGCGTGCCCCATGGCATGCTGCTGGGGTGAGGTAGTTGAGCAGAGGGGCCTGAGCCCCTCCCCAGCCACAGCCGAGGCAGCCAGTAGCGGTGTTTCCCAGCCATGCTCTTTGGGCATGGACAGACACAGGCAGCCTCAGCACCGTGACCCCCTGTGAGTAGGACGAGGCTGGTGGCCCCTGGTCACTGGGAACAGAGATGAGATGTGCTAATGACCAAACCCTGCTTTTTAAAATGTCTTGCTCAGCCTCCGCAGGGCAGGTGTGAGCAGCCGCATGGTTGACCATAGCTAGCTCTGGCTAGTACCACCTGCGTAGTTGACCGTAGTTGACTGTGGTTAGCGCTGGCTAGTGCTCCTCTAGGGGCCTGGTGGTAGGGAAAGCTCTTCCTGTAGAATCATCTCAGATCCTTACCACGGCCAACTGAATGAGGAAACAGGCCCAGAGGGCCCAGTGACTTCCCCAAGTCACTTGCAGAAGCAGACCTGGAGCTTGGGTAGTCCCCCCCCCCCAGCCCCATGCTTTGCCCCACCCCCCTGCAGGGGCTGAGGAGCATCTGGGTGCTTCTGCTGGAACAGGGGGGCGCGTTTGCAGAACAGGGGCAGGATGAAGGCGGCTGTTGTCATTCAAGGTCATTAAGTGCCACTGGCCTGCCTCCTGTGGGTGCTGGGAGGGGAGGACCTTCAGGCTCATCCTGGGGGAGAGGGCCCCTGCTCTCTCCCTAGGACCTCGCCTTAGTCTGTGAACAGGATGGGGGCGGTGCTTTTCCTCGTGTTACAGGAACCGGGAGGTGCAGAGTTAAACCACTGTGATGGGTAATTACTCAGAGAGTGTCTTGCTGTTGCTTGCTCTTGGTGGAGTGATAGCTAATTATAGCTTGTGGGGTTTGTGTTGAGGAAGCAGAAAATGTCTGAGGGAAGGGCGAAGACGAGCCTGGGTCCCCGGTGGCTTACCCAGGCCGGAAGTGTGCTGCGGCCCAGAAGCTCAGGCTAGAAGCAGGGTGTTGGATGTCTGACCCAGACTTGGGGCCGGAGGACGGGAGGCAGGGACACCAGTCATCAAGCTGGGTTGTCGGAGCCTCTGGAGGATTAGACGTCCACGGGGTACTCCGCCCCTGTGGGTGATTTTTGCTTCTTCAGTGCAGGGATGGAACCCAGGGCCTTCCATGTGCCAGCCTCCCCATCCTCTGTCCTTTGCTCTTCTCCACTGTGAAATGATGGCAAATGGGCCACCCGTCTTGTCTAGTCACAGGACAAGCAGTTCTAGGTCTGGCCTTTATTTATTAAAGTCACAAAGGTGTACTTACTTTTGGAGAAGTTTTTCGGTTTCAGAATCGTGGCATTTGCGTTATTTATCCGAACCTCTTTTTGATGCGTGAACCCCTGTTTTTCTAGCACTGTCTCCAGACGCTGCTGTCCCCTCTCCCTCCCTGAGTGACAGCGAGGCCCATTTGAGCGGGTCAGCGTGGAACCTTTGCAGATGCCCACAACAGGGTGGACCTCACTGCACTGCTGCCCAGCCGTGGTGCAGACCTGCCTCCCTGGCGTTCCAGTGGGAACAGTGGCTTCCAGCTCTGGGTGCCCGTGGCCCTTGCCAGGCCCCTGCAGAGTTGCTCAGGGGAGGGTACCGGGCCTGGTGGTGCAGGCCTGTAACCCCAGCATCTCTGGGGGCTGAGGCAGGAGGATCCAAGTTCAAGGAGGGCCTCACCCACTTAGTGAGTCCCTAAGCAACTTAGACCTTGCCTCAGAAAGGGCTGGAGATGGCTTAAGGGCCCAGTGCTTAAGTGCCCCTGAGTTAGATCCCCACTATCCAAAAGAAAAAGAAAAAAAGCGGCTATTGCTGCCTCTGGCAGCCCTGGGGGTGGGTGGGAGTGGATGGATGGTGACCATTTCTGCACATTGCCCTAGTGGTCATTTGCTGACACAGAGAAACTGGAGTGAGGGGTCTGGGGGAAGGTCTGGGGTGTCACCGGTGGTTGTAGTCACTTGGAAGGCAAGAGGGAAAAACCCAAACCCCACCCTCTGCATAACGCTGGCCTCTGAGTCTGGGGCAAGACAGATGCCATTTATGATCAGGGAGCATCGCCTTAGCCACCCGTCTCCAGCCCGCACGAGGCCTCCAGGTTTGCAAAGCCTATGAGATCAATGCTCTTGTTCTGATCGTTGGTGATATCACTGGGCCCAGGGACCCCTGTTTGGAGGACTCTGAGCAGGGTAACAGGCCCGTTCCAGAAACCTTGCTTGCGTCATGGTGGACATGTTTCTGTTTGGCTTAAAAACTACCATCAAAAACAAAGGGAGGGCTGGGACGTAGCCCGGTGGTCGAACACTCGCCTAGCATGCTCCAAGCCCTGGGTTCCATCCCCATAGACAGATAATCAAAAGGAAGAGGGACTCGGTTTGGTTCTTGTACATGTCACCCGTCTTGGTTTCTCCCTTGGTGGCCCTGTGGAGATGAATCGTAAGGGACACATGGGAAATTACTAGCCAATGAGATGTGCTCAGTGGATACTTGAACTCTGCTAACTGGGACGGTGGTTGTATTCAAATGACCTGTTTTGCAAGAGAGTTGCTGTGGTCAGGGCTCTTGCGCCAGGTGACCCATGGGACCACACTTCCCCTTGGGTTGGTGAAGGGGCCGCCCAGCCACCTCCCTGCCATTTGCATCACGGAAGACTGGCCAAGTTGGTCCTGGGTGAGAAGGTCAGCCTGGGGGGTCCAGAGGTTTTAAAAAGTGGGAAGAATGTGTTTTCAGTGCTTTCCGAGGAGTGACGCTGGGTTTCCTCCAGGGTGGAGAATTCAAGGGCTTACCTGTCTTGGTTTTTCATTATTTTCAGAGTCGAGGTTCTGAGGACTCCTTTCTAGAAGTGGAAATCTTCAGAGGCACAAGATACAGGTAAATCATTTTGTTTTAATCAAAAGGAGACCTCGTAGAGGGCTCGGGTGGATCTGGGGGTGGGGATACTTGGTACCCGCACTTGCCTTGGGACACAGTTCAGACTTGGCTCCCGGGCTGGGTGGGTGCTGGGTGGGTGCTGGGTACTGAGCCCTGAGGCTGCCCGGTCCTTTTTCCTTCTCTCCCATTACGTTTCCTGACTCCCTTTCTCTTGGGTTCCCCTCTCCACTGGGTGGTGGCAGTGGCCACAGGGTGGACCCCAGGGTGAGCTCCAGGAAGCTTGCTCTCCTCTTTTGGGGGCTGTAGGGAGATAGTCAGTGGAGGCTCTTGATACACCCTTCCTAGATGGGGGCCATTTTCTTATTACTCTTGTTTGGGGTCAGTCCCTAGCCATGCCCTTTCTGGTTTTGAGCAAAGACGGAGTCGCTCAGTGAGTGAAAGCCAAAAGAAAGCCCGTGCCCCGATCCTTCCCTCGTCCTTTCCATATTCCTCCTTTTTTCTTTTTCCTACTGGGGATTGAACCCAGGGGTGCCTTACCACTGAACTGCACCCCCAGCCCTTTTCTATTTTTCATTTTGAGATAGGGTCTCACTAAGTTGCTGAGGCTGTCCTTGAACTCGGATCCTCCTGCCTCAGTCCCCGGAGCCGCTGGGATTACAGGCAGGCACCACCGTCCCTGGTCCCCTGTTCTTCCTCTGGTGGTGGGATTATGGAAGGCTCTGCTGCTGGTCCACCAGGGACCAAAACGAGAGCACATTTCCCAGCTTGGTAGGCTGCCTTCACCTAGTGCACCGTCATCTCTAGGGGGACTGCTGTGATTCTGATGTGTATTGAACTGGCTTTATGCACTTTTTTTTTTTTTTAAATAAATTACTGGGTACATTTTGGTGGTGGGGGCCTTCATATCAGTTTGGGAGGTCACTTTATTTCTTTTTTTGGTACTGGGGATTGAACTCAGGGGCACTTGACCACTGAGCCCCATCCCCAGCCCTATTTTATATCTTATTTAGAGACAGGGTCTCACTGAGTTGCTTAGTGCCTCACTTTTGCTGAGGCTGGCTTTGAACTCACGATCCTCCTGCCTCAGCCTCCCAAGCCCCTGGGATTGCAGGCGTGCGCCACCACGCCCAGCTGGGAGGTCACTTTTTATCTGAGTGCCAAGTATCATTTTCCTCCCTGCTTGGGTGGTTTATCTTTGAATTGTGTTGGCCTCTTTATTTTAAAGAAATGTCTCGGAACCCTCAGCGATAAGGAGATTGAAAGCTGCAGGAGGGTCCAGCGGGGGGGGGGCCCAGGAGGAGAGGCCCTTCCTGTTACTGTTTGCATTGCTGTCATAAAAAGCCTGAGGTCTGCTCAGAGGAAGAAGTACTGCTCATTTTTTGGATACATGCATGAGAGCCAAAGAAATGCATGCCCCACCTGCACCCAAAAATGGGTTCGCACATGGAGACGACGCTGAAGGCCGCTCCGCACGTTCCTGTGTTGGGTTTAGGTTTCCAACACACTTCCATAGAGTTGAGAGAGGGGTCCAGTTTTAGTGAATTAATTTTTTTTGTTTTGCAAAAGCAATACATGCAAAAATGCAATTTGGTTTTTAAAATGCAAGCGTAAAAGGTGAGTCCCCTGGCCCCTTTTCCTCCAGGTAGTCTGTAAACAGCTGGATGCATGTCCCTGTGTGTGCTCATGTTTGGCACCTCTGTGTGTCTGCCGCTGTATCTTTGTGTGTCTGTATCCTTGTGTGTGCACTCCCTGGGTGTGTGTGTGTGTGGTAGCACACCTTACCTCCTCACAGCGTGGGCCACAGCTCCCATGATGCCCAGTGCCTGCTTTGGCACATGGTGGTGGCGTGGTCCTTGCCCACCTGCCCACCTGCAGCAGCTGCTTGTCTCCCTAAGGTGCACCCCTGGCCCCTGGTTGAGGAATCACCTCTAGTTGGGGTGACCTCTGCCTGTCGTGGGGCTGCTGCCCAGGACTGCCGGGATGGGAGCGTAGGTGAAGGGGGTCATTCCAATGGCCCACAGGAGTCCGTTGTACCACACCTTCACCAGCACGGCAGGTAGAGGTCTTCAATTTCTGTCTGCCTTGTGGATAATTAGTGAGCGGTCTCTTATTTTAGTTTTCATTTATTTAGTGGAGTAATTTTTTTTGACGGGGTTGGGAGGGGAGACTGGCGATTGAACCCAGGGATGCTTAACCACTGAGTCACATCCCCAGCCATGTTTTAATTTTTTTTATTTTGAGACAGGGTCTTGCTGAGTTGCTGAGGGCCTCACTAAGCTGCTGAGGCTGATCTCAAACTTGTGGTCCTCCTGCCTCAGCCTCCTGAGTCACTGGGATTACACAGGCATGTCCCACCGCGCCTGGTTAGTGGAATTATGTTTGAAGATCAAAATATTTCATAATGTGGGAAAATTAAGAATGGAAGTAAATTCCAATTAAAACAAACTTAAGCATGAGTTTACCCTCTCTTTCAGGGACATTTCAAGTGACCTCCCTGGGTATATACTTTGCCTGGTACTGAGATCCCCATGGTCTCAGCGGGCCCCCAGGTTGAGTGATCGGCACGGGCTGCCGTGATATAGTGCCACAAACTGGGCATCTGCTAAACAGCAAAAACTCACCTCCACCCTTTCTTTCGCAAACTGGAAACCCAAGCTCAAGGCGCTGGATAGTCGGTGCTGGCGAGGGCCCTTCCTGGTTGGTGCATGGCACTTTCTTGCTGTGCCCTCACTGGGATGGGAGAGGAGAGGTGGCGCAGCTCTCTGGCGCCTCTTTTGTAAGGACGCTAATCCCATGGGTGAGGACGCCACCCTCCTGGGCTGATCACGCTGGGGTTAGGACTCAGAGACTGAATTTCCGGGCTGACATCAGCATTTATAGCCACCACTGCAAGGTGCGGCGTGGGCTGGGGCTGCCGCTCGGTGGTGCGCGGCTGTCCAGCACGGCCCAGGACCTGGGTTCACTCGTGGGTGTAGCACTGTCACACACACGAGGAAAAAATTTGACAAAGGTACAGCACAGCTGATCCTTTCCAGGCTGGGTGGCTAGCACCATCCCCTCCGAGGGCCGGCCATTGCCCAGTGCAAACCCACGCTGTCCCTGGGAGCCGTTGCCCTGCTCGGAGCCTCTGTGGGCCTCCTGGAGGGGTTGGGGGAGCTCTAGGCCAGTGGAAGTGGAAATGAGCTATCATTTCTCCAATTCTCAGCCTCCTGCGCCCAGGGACCCAGACCGTGTGGGAGACAGTATGGTCAGCACTCATCCCAGACACAGAGTGGGGTGACATCAGACTGATTGCTTCTCTGCAGTGGTGGCCCCTGCTCGAGGAGCCTCCTGCCACCCCCAGGGCAGCCCTGCTCCTGCCACACACCTGCTCATGCCCTTCAGATTGGGTGTGTGTGTCCCTCCCTCCTCCCAGCCTCTGTGTCCTTCCCTGCTGTCCCGTCCAGCAAGGTGCCCAGGACATGAGCTTGGGTTTGGGGTGGGAGCAAGCGTGAGAGCTTCTCAGACACCTGCTGTGACTTGCTCGCTTCTGCAAGGTGGCTTGAGGTGAGAGGGCGTCCAGAGACGGTCTTGGCCGGCCGCCCTGCTAGGTGTGTCCAGGACAAGGCCGTGACAGGGCTGAGCATGCCCCTGCAGAGCTGAGATCGGCTCTCGGTTCTGGGAAAACTGAAGTTGGAACAGTGAACGGTTAGCTTGCAGCTCAGGGAGCCCCTGACCCCTGTTCCGCAGTCTAAGGGACAAGGCCCTTCTTGTCCTCAGCGTGCACCACGGAGAAGTCAGCACTGTGACGGGGAGGCAGAGGGGACCTGGGCAGGACCTCGCAGGGAAGAGCTGCCAGGGCTCGCCAGGGCAGGGTGTGTCTGGGGAGGGCCGCGGTGCTCCCTCCTCCCTGCCACCCAACAGCTCAGGGAAGGTGTGGGAGTGTGTCCTCCGCTGCGGCCGCAGGGCCCAGAGGGGTGTGGACCTTCACGCGCCCTGTCTGGGCAAACCCGGGAGATGAACAGGGATCCAGCCAGGCTCCGCCAGCCGGGCGTCTACAGAGGGTTGGGGGCCCAAGGTGACCCTCTCCTCACATCAGTGTGTCCCCAGCTCACCCGACGTCCCCTGTCGCAGTTTCCCCGGGATGTGGGTGAGGGTGCCTTCACATCAGGACGGCATCCTGCTCCCGGCTGGAGCCCCGGCACCTTCTGAGTGGCAGTGAGGGTGTCCCCTCAGTGATCCATCCCTCTCAGGTCCCAGGGAGGAGCCACATCCCAGAGGCAATGTAGGTCAGCGTGTATGAGACACATAAATATGACATCCAAATGTGCACGTGTGCAGGCACCCGCAGATGCCTGTGTGTGCACAGATGTACACTTGTGTCCTGCACGTGCACACAGCTGCAGGCGCACATGGGCATGCATGTATGCGTGCACAGAAGGTTCACACGGTGCACATAGATGTGTACGTATGTCGTCACAGATGCACCTGCTCACATGGACGCATACACATGTGGGAACACACACAAGTGACGCCTCCGCACACAGAGCTGTGCACACGCACGCATGCAGACACGTGCCCCCAGCCCCGTGCTCCAGCCCCGCCCCCGCTGGTTTCTGGAGCTGCTCTTCTCTCCGCCGCAGCCCCTTTGATTCCCAGGGTCCTGGAGGTGGAGCGCTGCCACCTGACAGGCCCCGACAGGCGGGATGGAGGGGCTCAGCGCCACCCCCCAAGCTCCACTCTCTGACATTTAAAGTGGGCCGGTGCGCTTAATTACGCGTGTGAGAGGGAGTGATATTCGTAACCCGTCTCTCTAATGGGCTCCTTTGTCAGGCCGTCCTTTCTGAATGCAAAGGGCAACAATTTCACGCTGTCACCGCAAAGTGCACGTTCACAACCCTCAGCTCCCAGGGATGCTCAAGAAAGCCAGCACAGAGGGGCGTCCCGCCCAGCTGTCGTGATTTCGATTTTGGGAGGGCGGCCCTGCCTGCGGCGTTCCGCCCTGGCCACGGAGCACTGTTCCTGGAAGGCCAGCGGTGGTGGCAGTGGGCCGGAGGGTGTCTTGTGTGCCCTGCCTGAAACCGTTGGCTTCTAATGGCAGAAGGTAAACCCCACAGTCCTCCCTGGAGCTCTGTGCCGCTCGGGACTCTCCAGGCCCTTGTGGCCGGCTTTAAAGGCCCTTAGAGAAGGCGGCAGGGCCTGGGCTAGACCCCGGGAGTCTCGCATCTGCTGATGAGATAAATGCGCAGCAGGCCTGGGCAGGACTGGCAGCAGAGTAGCCCTGCCCTGCCTCGGGGGGGACCGGAGGGTGGACACTGTGCAGGCCCAGATGCCATGTGCAGAGGAAGCCACAGAGCAGAAGAGGAGGGTGGCCGGCAAGGAGGTGGCCTTGGAGCAAGGGATCGCTACAGGAGCACAGAGACCCTGGGGGGAGAAGGTTCAGGAAGTGGGAGCTGCATGCAGAGGGCCCGGAGGCGGGCGCGGTGCTCTGCGGGGCCCAGGCGTGCTGGCGAAGTCCTAGGGCGGCCAGGCCAGGTCACTTGGGCCTTGCAGGCTCCTCTAGGACCTGACACTGGACACTGACCCTGCCGGGCCTCTCAGCACGCTCTGCTGCCTGGTGAATGATCCCATTTGTCCAAATGCACCTGCTGTCCAGCCGGCTCACTCTTCCTGTCCTTGGGAGGACATTCCCGCGGTGGCCACCCTGCCTCGGCCTGCTGAGCTGCCCTACTCGATGCGGCCAGAAGCTTGTAATTCATGTCCTGCCATCAATAGTGTCAGTGACGGAAAGCCGGGCTCCTCTCTGTGCCCACCTCCGCTGCCCTGAGACCCCGAGTGTCAGCTGTTCTAACCGCCTTTGGTTTTTTCCATCAAATTGGTTTGACCTATTTCCCGACTTGACCCCTTTAGAGACCGTGTTGCGTGGAGTTGAGGGTCGTATCCTGTGGTCCTCTGCCTCCTCCTTCCCTCCGCCGTCCAGTTCTTGTTACTGGGCCGTGCGCTGGGCCGGGATAATGCACTCTGATCACACTTCCATCTGTGAACCGCTCTTGTTCCCCGGGGGTCACTAATTGCCTCATTTTCAGTGTGCGTGTCTTTATTTTTTTTTTTAAATCTGTGTATCTGTTACTGATTCATCCTCAGACTCCTCCAGAGCCGTAGACACAGCCCGGGGACGTGGTGGGTGACCCATCGAGCGCCCCTGTGAGGTCCCTGTCTTTGCACCCCCCAGCTCTCCACGGTGTGTGCCTGTCCTCCGTGTGCACAGCCTGACTCCTGAAAGAGAAGGCCCAGGACACGGCTCCCCCTTGTTGTGTTGGAACACATCCTTCAGTAATTTTCTGAGAAAGGATGGAAGAGGTAAGGCTGCTTGAGCACTTGAGGCGTGTTTCTGTGTGACGTTCTGACTGCTCAGTCATTTGCTTCAAGATTCTCCGTGAGACATCCTCTCCCTCGGGTTTCAAGGCAGCTCTGCCTCCTGGCTCTCAGCAGGGCCACGGTGATGTCTGTGCGACTAGTTTTTGTTCCTCGAGCCTTTAGGAGATCCTCTCTTGACCTCCCAGGGCTCTCCGATTTCTTGATAAACGGGTGGCCTCTGGTCACTCGGGCTGCTGGGCGCTTCCATTGTGAAGACTCACGCCCTTTGTCCTGGGTATTTTCTGTTTGTTCTTTCTGGGAGAATCCCTCATTTTTTGGCACTCTTTTCTACCAGTGCTACTTAGACTGGGGACTCCAGCTTTCTTATCTCTTCTTCCATCTCCATCACATTTTTTGACTGGCAGGAACCCCGTTCTTGCAGCAGGACATATTCTTTCTTTCATCCAAAAGTGGCATTTTAAGCTCGGTTTCATCTTCTCTGCTTGCGGGTGACAGCTCCCCTCTCAGGCTACGGTTTCTGCTCAATTTGGTCTGAAATGTCGCTCAGCACCGCGGGGTATGAGCGCTGCGGCTGGGGAGTGTTACGGAAGATGAAGTCGCTTCGGCCCAGAGCTAAATCAGTTCATTGGAAAGGAAAGGGAGGGCTGGGGTTGGGGCTGGGTGGCAGAACGCTGGCCGGGCACGTGTGAGGCCCAGGTTCAGCCCTCAAGAAAGTAATGAAACAAAGGTGTTGTGTCCATCTCCAACTAGAAAAAAATGAAAGATTAAAAAAAAAAAAAGCGAAGGTAAATGCCTGAACTCATGACTTCCTAGTAGTCGTGCACAGTGACACTGCCGTGATCGTTCGTGCTTTCTGCAGGTAGGTGTGTTTACAAGCTGCCCTGTCCATGGGGTGGACATGCCCGGGCCCTGGTGGGCACTGGGGCTCCCCTTCCTGTCGTCACCTTGGGACCTGACAAAAGCATCGACGCTGCGAAATCAGCGCCTGCCCAGAGCAGGGGACCCTCTGCCACGCCCCTGGGAGACCCGGCTCTTAGGCCTGCCACACACCACTGGGGCCAGCGCCTCCGTTTTCATCTCCCAGTTTGTCTCCTTTTCTGTGTCGCTTCCCTGGATTGGAGGGCAGACCTGCGGTCCCAGTTTCCCAGGAGAGAGTCTCTCATCTCCTAAGTCTGGGGTCTGAGCCCAGCTTAGCTCGTGCCGTGGGACCCCTAGAGTAGAATAGGACCTCTGCAAACCACTGTCCTCCAGGAGAGACTGGGCTTCTCTGGGGTGTTTGGCCTGAGATGACCGGGGCCTGTGGGCTCCGTGGCTGGGGCTTGTCCTGGTGTCCAGGCCGTGGGCCCGTGCGCTCACTCCCTGTCTGACCCACAGGACCTCCTGGGGCTGTTTATTATCATTGTCCTCGTTTCATGGTGCTGGGGATTAAGCTCAGGGCCTTGGGTGTGCCAGGCGAGCCTCTGTCACCGAGCCGGTGCCACCGAGCCACACCTCAGCCCTGTTGGTCCTTTTAATAGGCTGGAGCTTTTAGGACTGTTTTAGATTCAGCATAAGGTACAGAAGTCTGCACATGTCCCCTGCTGCGACGCAGAGCCACAGTCGAAGACCCTACACTGACACCTCGTCATGGTCTACAGCCTGTAGGTTCCCATCAAGGTCACGCGTGGTGTCGTGCCGCCTGCAGGACACGTGCCCACCATCGCAGTCATGCGGAGCAGGTTCACCACCCCGCAGCCCTGTGCTCCCCTCCCCTCGGCCCCCTCTGTGGCTGTACCACACGCAGCTGCCTGTCATGGGGTCGGAGCCGTCTCGATGTGGCCCTTCCAGACCCTTCTCTTAGCCCCGTGTAAGGCCTGCGCGGCTGGTGGCGCGTTTCTCTGTAGCCTGAGTAACAGTCCTGCGTCTGGAGCGAGCGCAGCTGGTGTGTCTGCCGCCAGCCTCTGGCTGTCATTGCGCTGGCTTCCTGTGACACGCTGGCTGGCACCCTGACAGTCCTCAGAAGAGCATCCCGCTCTGTGCCGTGGCCCCTCGCAGCGTCACGAGTTGCCCCAAGTCCCCAGCCTGTCTGGGTCGTGTGGAGCTTGGCCGCCCGGGGACGCACCTCCAGCTTCTGCCTGGTGCTCACCCAGCCTGGGGGGCGCTGGCTGCTGCCCAGGGCGGGGCACGTGTGGCCTGGACTTTGTGCCCTCCTCCTGGGCCCCGGGGTCCTGGCTCCGTCTGCAACCAGAAATCGTGCAGACCTCGGCCAGCCAGCCGCCTGCTCCCCCTCGGCCCTGTGGCGGGGAGTCGCCGAGAGGGACGGGCCCGTGTGGCCACGCTGCTGCCTGTGCCCACAGCCCATGTCCGTCACAGGGAACTGGGGAAAGGCCACAGCCCTCCAAGGCCAGGGGACAGTTGCCCCAGAAGGTGGGTGGACAGCTGGGAGGTAGCGGGCACTCTCAGGGAGCCCGGTGGACATCTTTGCCACCTCCTCTGCACCTGGCCTTGGGGCGAGCGAGGAGAACTTGAACCAAAGGCAGCAGGACGGTCCTCGGGGTGTCTGTGGGCCAGGCTCTGGGCGGGTGGCCTCTGTGAGGCCCCTCCTCCACCCCATGCTTCCCCAGGTCAGGGCTGGACTTCCAGCCCGCGCGAGCTCCGTTTGTGAGAGCCGCGTACGGTGGGATTGTGTGTCAGTGTCTGGTGTCTCCTGGGGGACAATCCAACGCCAGCTCATCCTCACGGTGGCTTTGTGGCCCGTGGCTCTTCCTCTCTTTGACCTGGGAGAGGACGTTATCACATCCAGGAGCTACGGGTGTGCCTGACACTTGGGAAGGAGCTGAACCTGTACGTTACGGGTGAGTTTTCTGGGCGTCTGGGGAGACCGTCGCCTCTGTGGGAGCTCAGAGGGGAGAAGGGTGAGCTCGGTGGCCAGATCCTGGCCAGTCGCCCAGAGAGCGAGTGCCCAGGCCCAGGAACCAGTGGGGGATGCATTTGGAAATGTTCTGGGGGGCGTGGACAGGCAGATGGGCAGCTGCCCAGGGCCTGCAGGGGGCCACCTTGGTGGGTTCACAGGTGGGCGGGGCCCACACCTGAGAGGTCAGACAAGGTTGACCAAGGTTGTCCTTAGCCGTCACTGAAGATGCAGGAGAGACGTGGAAAGGTGCTGTCCCCGGGGAAGCGACTTGATCTGAATTCATAGTGAAAACATCACCTGGCTGCGGTTGCTGTGAGCTGAATGCGTTCCAGGAAGGTTGTGTCAGTTTGGAATTGGATCTGTTGGTAACAAAAATCTGAAAGCAAGTCATTGACAGAGTTGAACCATTTATGAACGAGTCTGGAACAGATCGTTGGAAGTAAAAAGCAGAAGTAGCGTCTCTGCTGTGTTGGGCCCCTGGCTCTTGTGGGTTTCCACTTAGCCATTTACAGAGTGGAACCCTTACTCTCATGGATCATGAGATGGCTGCCAGAGCGCCGGACATCCAATCGGAATTCCAGGCTGCAAGAGGAGGAAGGGCTGAGGACGGAAACATAACTGCTCACTGAGTCAGCCTCCTTTAAAGATCTCTCATGGAACTCCTGTCTAATAACTTCCACTTACAGTTCTTCAGCCAGAAGCAGGAAAGCTTGGAACTGTGGTGGGCTGGGCACACCTCCAACCCAAGGAAGCTCGGGATTCTGTTACTGAGAATGCAGGGACAGGAGGTGCCCTTTGGGGGGCCAGGACATGGAGTTCAGGACTGGCTGTCAGCAGAACCAGGCTTGTTCTGGCTTTGCCTGATTGAGGTGCAGGAACACAATGTGGGGGGTCCAGCCTGGAGCTCAGAGGGGCATGTGCTGTGACCCTCACATGGCCCCTGCAAGGGGGACAAGGGACCCAGAACCCTGCGTTGCAGTTTGGGGTGAAATGTGACGTGAAAGTGCCCGATTACCTAAGTGCCAGCTCAGGGCACTTCAGTGGCTCCAAGCTGTGGGCCCAGGAACAAAACATGTCACTGGGCAGGAACAAGCCAGAGTGACATTCAAGACCAGGGTGGCTCTCCCAGATTCAGTTCCAGTGAGAAAGCCGTGGACTTGCACGGCTCATCCGCCGTGTCGGACCTGCGGGAAGACCGGCCCTGGCCTAGGCTGTCCCCAGAGGGGAGGGGGGGGTCGCAGCCTTCCCGACCTGGGGGGCTCAGAATCACATCACGAGGGAGACTCGATGGCCAGTTGGGGACAGAGAAGCCAGCAGCAGCCCGAGGCCCTGGCCAGGGGGATCTGGGTCGTGCTGCCGCTGGCCCCGTCTGTGCCCTGATGCCATCCTGATGCCATCTGCGAGGCTCCCTGGTAGTTCGCTTGGCTCTGCTCGGCCAAGTTAGGGCCCGGGGAACAGGAGGGCGCTCAGTGTGGAAGGCCACAGCGTCACTGGAGTGCGCTGGGGACGGGAGGGATGGGCTCAGGAACTCTGGGCACACGTGGCTTCCAGTCTCACCACTTTCGCTAAATAGCATCGGCCTGTTCTAACGGGCGCTCGGCCAACTGGGCAAATCTGCACTAAAGACCAGGGTTTCCCTGGAGTGACGGCCTCTCACAGTGAGGCTGGGACATTTCACCGCCGTCCCAACTAGGACAGCTGTGTCCTGTAGGTCAGTGCCTCCTGCCTGGTGAGACCTCCAGCGTGTGTTTTTGTGTGTGTGCGTGTTCCTGTATGAGCGTGTGTGTGTGTTCCTGTATGTGCGTGTGTGCGTGTCCCGTGTGCACACCTGTGCCGACACGGGTGCATGCTTGCTTGGGCGCGGTGTTCCCTCCCAGGTGTGTGTCCTAGCCCTGGTCCTTCTCTGGCCATTCCCGGATGAGCGTGGCAGGAATGGGGAAGCAGAGGTCCCCGGGGGAAGCTGAAACCCAGTTCCTTTCTGCTCATTCTCATCTCCCACCAGCTGCGCGCAGAGCCGTGCAGGAAGGAAGCCCGGTGGCCAACTGCCCGTGGTCTGGTGTCCACACCAGGCTGGGCCCGTCCCGCGCTGTGGGGCTGGCCGCTGTGGGGAAGGGCGGGGAACGCTCGTGGCTGGTGGGTCCAGCGTTGTCCCCTGGGTTCTGCACCAGGCTGTCCCTCCAGGAGCCACCCACGTACCCACGTCCCTCTGTGCGTCTGAGCAGGAGTGGAGCCAGTCCGGGGGGCGGGTGGCCTCATGTCCCTTCCTTGTCTTGTAGCTTCCTTCCGGAGCCTGAGGAACGCCCGGGTCCTGAGGGTGAGCTGGTGAGAGCCCTCGGCTCAGCGGCCAGCAGGGACATGCGGCTTCCGAGGCGCCCCGCCGCTCCGTGGCTCCGACCCGTGCTGCCGGCTGTGGCCCTGCGGTTCTGAGCAGCGTCCCGCCGACCCCTGCTCCCCGCAGCCTCCTGCTGCCCATGAGCCTTGGCTGCTGAAGGCCCGGTGGCCCCCGCCCACGAGGATGCATGCCCCCATCGGGGGGCTGCTCGCGGCCCTGGCGCTGGTGTTTGGGACGGCGGTGGCCTTCGCGCCCATACCCCGGATCACCTGGGAGCACAGAGGTGAGAGCCAATGCTGCAGTGGGTGCCAGTGGCGACCCCACGCTGGGGACACGGGTGGACACGGGCGGACACGGGTGGACACAGGCGGACGGCTGGCATCCCGGCATTTCACTGGTTGGGTTCTCGGCCCCTGGAGCTGTGGTACCAGCTGACCGCCTCAGGCGACGGCTTCAGAGGCTGCTCTGGTGACCGGAGCACGGACAGGGTTTGCGCAGGATCCTGACTTGGTGTCTGAACTGGGGCCCCCGAAAGGAAGCTCGCCGCCTCCTACCTGGTCACCTCGGAGGCCGAGCCCCGGCTGAGCGTGTGCCCCTGGCTCCCGAGGACAGGGCTGACCCCGAGGACAGCTCCTGTATCCCAGCTTCCCACCAGCGACTCTCACGTGCTGTTGCTGGTTCGGGTTTTAGTTATCCCCGCCCCTGGGAGAGGTGTCTTGGCCCCCGTCTCTGGCTCCGTGGGTGGAGAGCTTAAGTGCTGGGTGCTGAGCTAGGTGCTGCTCACTGGCCATCTGTGCACCGAGACAGGCCTGCGTGCTGTGTGCGCGTGGCCCTTCTTTCCAGTGGAAAAAATCAGGAGATCAGGAAGTGTTGACACCTGAGTCTCTTCTTTGAGGGGGTTGGGAGGGCACTGGGGATTGAACCCAGAGGCGCTTTACAACTGAGCCACATCCCCAGCCCTTTTTATGTTTTATTTTGAGACAGGGGCTCACTAAATTGTTGAGGCTAGCCTCAAACTTGGATCCTCCTGACTCAGCCTCCCAAGTTGCTGGGATTACAGGCATGCACCACTGCACCTGGCTCCTTTATATATATTTTTGACCTTGATGATAGTTGACTGGGCATCTGCCATAAACTGGCACTATGATAACCTCAGGTAGCAAGGGCTGGGGCCTGCATCCCCAGTGGTTCCTGGAAAGCCAGGAAAGGTCCTGGGGGACTTTATCAGATGCCTTTTGGATCTCAAGGGCACATGGTTTAACGGGCAGAGATCATAGAGAGCCGATGATTGAGCAACAGGGAGACATCAGCTCAGTCAAAATCAGTCACAGCTGCAGGGAGGGTTGCCGAGGAGGGACTTCAGGATGAGCTCCGCCCAGGCCTTAAGTGGCGTCTCAGCGGAGGGACCGTTGGAGGTGAGGCGCCATCAGGAACTGCAGACACTTCCAGAACACCAGCCCTCCAAGTGCCCACTTGGTAATAAAAAGGTGGAAGTCCAGTTCAGTCCCTCGGGTGCATGTCAGGACGGCCAGAGGGAAGCAGTCAGGAGATGAGGAGCGTGAGCCCTGACCACTGGGTTGTGCCGCTGCGGGGCTCTTGCTGCAGTCACCCGACAAGTGGAAAAAGCGCTACTTGTCTCCGTCTCGGGAGTTTGTGGTGGAGATTACCGGGAATCTCGTGGATCGAGGGCTATATTCTCCAAAGATTATTTTTTAAAAAAATAGATTTCAAAATAAAACATCTCCTGCAAAAGAAAATCTTAAACCCAGGGAGACCCTGTCTCTAAGTAAACTACAAAATAGGGCTGGGGAGGTGACTCCGTGGTCGAGTGCCCCTGAGTTCAGTCCCTAGTAGCTGCTGCCCACCCACCCCCCAAAAAAAGTTATGATATTCTTAAGCTTTATCCATGAGCGACTGAAGACAAGTAGGGGAGAGGTGGGTGGGCAGATGGAGTGCTGGCCTGTCGTCTCCTGGAAGACCACTTGGCAGGTCTTGAGGGATGGGAAAGGAAGGTAGGTAAGCTGCTCGGCCCCTTGTGTGGGGCGTGGACCTGGCACTTGCAAGCATTTGCTCAGATGCTCCCTGTCACCGAGAGTGACTCCCTGGGTCCCGTCTCCCTGCTCTGACGTCTCCCCTGGCCTCCCGCAGAGGTGGGTCTGGTGCAGTTCCAGGAGCCAGGCATCTACAACTACTCGGCCTTGCTGATGAGTGAGGATGAGGACACGCTGTACGTGGGCGCGCGGGAGGCCGTCTTTGCGCTGAAGGCGCTGGACATCTCCAGGAAGCAGCACGAGGTAGGTCCTGCCCTCGGCCCTGGGGCTCTGCACACCGGGCAGCCTGCCCTGAACCCCCGACTCCCTGTCTGTGCCCCTCCAGCCTGGGCTCCTGCCGCTTTCCATCTTTTCTTCCTGAACTTTCTACTAGGGAAGAATCTCCACCATGCCCATAAGCAAGGGCCGTGCCCTGCATCCCCAGTGGTTCCGGGAAAGCCAGGCTGTCCCTCACTGCTGCCTGTGACACTCTCTGCCTCTGGGGGCGTTGAAGCAAACCCCAGCACGGCCCCCTTCATCTGTGTAGCTCTTAGGGAAGGGACTCCTTGTTCTCTGATCACACCACCTCCGACCTCGCGTCCTGCCGGCTCAGCTAGCACTCAGACTTCGCAGAATCGCGTGCGGAAGGCGTTTGTTGGGTTCGTTTGCACGTTTAGTTGGAGTCAGATGGAAATCAGCCGCATCACGTGACTGGCCGCACTGTCCAGGCAGCCTCTATTTCTAGGGCCCAGCCTCAGTTTCCTTCCTGGAAAAGGTGCTCCGTGCAGCCTGTCTTGTGCCCCAGCCGTGGCCCTGCCCCTTGTGTCCTCATAGAGTCTAGCCTGGGTCTGTCCTTGTACACATTCTCAGCCACCTGTTGGGTGCAGAGGTTTGTCCGTGCAGGCCAGGGAGGGAGACTTCTCCTGCAGGTGGGGTCCTCCCTCCTGGGCCTCAGTGGCCTGTGACCCACCCAGCCAAGGTCCAGTGTCTTGTTAAGTGTTGCAAAAGGCAATTTGGGGGGGCAGGGGGGAGGTACCAGGGATGCTTAACCACTGACCCACATCCCCAGCTTTTTTTTATATTTTATTTTGAGACTGGTTCTGCTGAGTTGCTTAGGGTCTCACTAAATTGCTGAGGCTGGCTTTGTATCCGCGGTCTCCCTCCTACAGCCTCCCAAGCAGCTGGGATGACAGACGTTGCCACCGCGCCCAGCAAAATAGTGTGGTTCTGCCTTTCCTTTTTCATCTGTCAGACAGAGTGCCCACTGTCACCTGTTTGGGTCCTGGGAGTGCCAGGACAGGACAGATGCTGGGCATTGTTCCTATGAACGATTCAGTTCTATCCTGAGGGCAACAGTGAGTTTTTAAGTTATTTGATTGTTAGTGTCAGGGTGGAATTTTTTTTTCTTTTGCAACGTTGGGGTGGAACCCAGGGCCTCATGCATGCCAGGCAAGCGCTGTACCCCTGGGCTGCACCCCTGGCCCCGTCCTTATTTGATGCTCCAGTTGCCCTGTTCTTGGCCAATGGCAGCCCCCGGGCTGGCTCCCGAGGCCTAGCTGTTGGCTAGTTTTCTTGCCCTGGGGAAGGAGGCAGCTCTGGCCTGTGTTGTGCCTGTCTGCCCTGGAGCTCTGTGTTTTATATTCTCTTCATCTCCAGGGTTTAGCATTTTTATTTCTGTTGGATACACAGATGAGCTTCTGAGCATCATCCTTTGAAGACAGAGGTTATAGTCAGAAGTCACTTGAGGGGAAGGGTGAGGTGGTCTCACCTCCTGCTTAGCCCCTTCCTCCCTGTGTGTCTGGTAGATATTTTGCTCTAGGCCCCGTCACCTTGTGGTCACCTGGTCTAGGGTTCTGCCTCTAGAATCATCTTGGAGAAGCGTGGAGTCCAGTATGAGCTGGACCACAGCCAGACACCAAGTGCCGGCCACTGTCCTGTGAATGGCCTCTGTGCTCCCCAGGAGGGCATAGAAGCTGAGGTGCCTCTTAAAGAGAAGGTAGAGGGACTTCTGTCTTCAGGGACTCCCTGGGAGCATGAGCAGGGCACACGACTAATCTTACGTTCCTCTGCCCTCGTGGGTTTCATGCAAGGACCTCGAACCTCATCTGCACTGGTGTTTCTGAAGGAAGGTGCTCTTCCAGTTGTGACCGGGTTCTGCCTTCCTGTGTCCCAGTTAAGACTCCATTGCTGTGAAAATTGCAACCGGTGTGATGTGTTTGCCACACGGGCACGTGGTGGAAGCCTACTGAATTAGCTCAGGGTGATCCTCACCTCACCTAGGGTCCCCCTCTGCCCAAGAAGCTCTGTGTGTTTCCTGACTGCTGACCCCCAGTATCTATAAGAGTCTCTGGGTCATAAGAAATGTCCTGTTGTTTTGATTATCGTTTTTGTGGTACTGAGGATCGAACCCAGGGCCTTATACATACTGTGCAAGCACTCCACTGCTGAGCTGCATCCCCAGCCTTTTTAATGTTTTGTTTTATTTTTTTTTATTTTGAGACAGCCTCACTAAGTTGCTGAGGCTGGCCTTGAACTTGGAGTCCTCCTGCCTTAGCCTCCTGAGTAGCTGGGATTACAGGCGTGCACTACCATGTCTGGCCTGTTGTTATTTCGGCATCAGTTTGAAGGCCTCACAGGAGAACATTCAGTAAAACGGGCCCATTCTCCCTCACAGGTGTACTGGAAGGTCTCAGAAGACAAGAAAGCAAAATGTGCAGATAAGGGGAAATCGAAGCAGGTAATCTCTCTTGCCAGCTGCAGGACGGCCACCTGTGTACGACTTGGTGGTCATCTCCTGCAGGCTGGCGTGGTGGCAGGTTGAATGGTGGACACGGTCACCTCGTCTCTTGTGCTCCTGAGTATTGGGATTGGCTCTCACAGCAATGCCAAACACAGGAGGCGTTCATGAAACATTGTTTTAGTTTAGTGAATCGAATTCATCATTCACACGGCCTGAGACTTTGACCAGAGAAAGCGTTTCCAGTGGCCACTGGCAAATGGTGTCAGCCGTGGGACTCACTGTGCTCCCTCTGTGGCCAGCAGACTTGGGCTTGAACCTGACAAAGGCTCTGGGGGTTTCTGGCAGATGTGCGTCCCTTGGGCACTCGGTGAGAGGCCTATTCAGGGGATGCTGGGCGAGTGTCCTTCCCTGCCAGGAGCTCTGGGTCACCCTCACCATCCTCTGCGCCTTTGTGTCCCCACCTGAGGCCATGCAGATGTCCACTCCCAGATGACAAGAGCCCAGTCGTCCTTGATTATTGGTCGTGGCAGTGGAATTAGGGCAAATTTCAGCAGTTGTTGGCTAAGTTCAAAACAGATTTTTTTTTTTTAAAAAGTTTTTTTTTTTTTGCAAAGCGCTAGACGCTTACTTGATCATTTGTCCCCACACCCAGTGTTAGCTTAGGAAATGAGCGAAAGCAGGCTCTGAGACAGATCACGGGTGCCGCAGGGAGTCCTTCTAGAGCTGAGTGAGACCGAGAGCCTTGACCATGGACAGGCCCTCCCAACCCAGTGCGGGAGGAGATTGTGAATGACCAGTTTAGAAAGAGCCACAGCAGAGGGAAACTTCCTTGAACTGAGATGATTTCAGCCTGTGGCACATAGAATCCAAGTGCTTTCACCCTAAATAGTTCATGGGTTCTTAAAAGGCTCCTTGTCTTCCCGAGGGGCCCTTTTAGGACGCTGAGCTGGCTTTCCCCCTGGGGGCCCAGCCTCCCCCCTGGGCGATGGTTGGGCCTGGATCCCGAGACTCTTTTTCCAGTTTAGTGGGTGCAGGGGGCAGAGGGTGGGTCTCCAGGAAAGCAGAGGGATTCGGTGTAGTGTAGTCTTTGGCAGGTTCAGCAGCAAGACAAATGGTCTGTGTGTTCAGCGAGAGGAAATTGCATCTCTGTCTCTAGCGGGTGTCCCCAGTACCATTTGAGGTCAGCTCACACGGCGTCGTTTGGTTGCCAGATCTTTGCAGAGTGTCAATTAAGGACTGAACTGAACTCTGTCTGGCACCTGAACAGCCTGTGGACACTGCAGAGTCGAAATTACAGGCCAGCTTGAGGTTTAGGTGTGCCAGGGGTCATATGGGGTGTCAGTGAACCCCCACTCTGTGGAAGGCCCGGGTGTGAAGGGGAGGACTTAGAGAACAAGGCCCAGGGACGAGTGAGCGGGGCTCGCGGCTTGCAGAGTGGAAGCTCCTGCAGCCGGAGCTGTGAGCTGTTTTTCTCTCCTGCAGACAGAATGTCTCAACTACATCCGGGTGCTCCAGCCGCTCAGCGCCACCACCCTGTACGTTTGTGGGACCAACGCGTTCCAGCCCACCTGTGACCACCTGGTAAGGCCACGGACGCATCCCTGGTACCAGATGAACTCGGGGGAGCCTGGGGGAGGGCATAGAGGCGATCCCTGACCCCCCAAACGATAGGATTTTCTCAGGTCAGCTGTGTGAGGACTTGAAAGCAGCTCCTGGCCCTGCAGGAAGCCCGACCAGCCTGTGATCAAGGGCACACAGCCTTCATGTCTCCTCTGAGCTTGGAGTCTGTGGCTAAGGGTGTGGCTTGAGGCAGGGCTGGAGGGTGTGCCTGGGTATGCCTTCTCACTGAGGCATGCTGGCTTGAATCCTTCAGGATAAATACCCGGGGAGAGGGGATAGCTTGGTCGTGTGGTGGTTCCATTCCTCCGTATTGGGAGGAACTTCCATACTGATTTCCACAGCAGCCGTGCTGATTCACAGTCCACGAGCGTTCCTTATTCCCGCATCCTCACCTCCATCTAGGGCTATTTGTATTCTTCATGGCTACCCTTCTAACTGGAGATGAAATCTCAGTGTAGTTTTAATTTGCATTTCCCCAGTGGCTAAAGATACTGATCATTTTTTTCAGATCTTCATTGGCCATTTGCCCATTTATTGAATGTTTTTTGGGGTGTTGATTTTTTTTGAGTTCTTTATATATTGTGAATATTAATTCTCTGTGGGGTGAGTAACTGGGAAAGGTCTTCTCCCCTTCTGTCGTTTCTCTCTTCCTATTACTGTTTCCTTTGCTGTGCAGAAGCTTTTTAATCTGATGCCATTCCATTGATTGGTTCCTGGTATTGTGGCTGGGTTTTAGGAGTCCTGTGGAGGAAGTCTGTGTCTGCGCCTCTGTGTTGGAGTGTTTCCCTTGGGTTCTCTCGTAGCAGCTGCAGCGTTTCTAGACTTATTCCTGGGTCTTTGATCCATTCTGAATTGACTTTCGTGCAGGGTGAGAGATGGGGATCTAGTTTCATTCTCCTGCAGACGGATCTCCAGTTTCCCCAGTGCTGTTTGTTTAAAAGGCTGTGCTTTTTCCAGTGTATTTTTTTGGCACCTTTTGTCAAGGACCAGATGACTGTATCCACATGAGTTTGTCTCTTTGTAAGATGGAGCATTTGAAGTAAGTACGTGGAAGAACTAAAAACCAAGCGTATTTTCTACTGATGGTCCTAGATTAATGAGTACCTGACAAATATAAAAATACGCTAATCAGTACTTCCTCCTTATCTGCTGGGTATAGTCCCATGACCTATAGTGGTGAAACCCTAGAGGCTTCATCTGATAACCCAGGTGGCTGCCCAGTGACTGATGGTGTGTGAGTTCATCACCTACTCAGAATGCACTGTTGACTGCAGCTAACTAAAACTGCAGAAGGCGAAATCGTGGGTGGGGGAGACCACTGTCATGAAAAGCTTCATTTGCTGTTGGAATACAACTGAGGCATGGGACTCAGAGGTGCAACACTTGTCCAGCCTGCAGGAGACCTTGAGTTCGATCCCCAATACTGCAATCAGAAACTCACCTTGAGTCAGAAAGAACCAGACAAAGCTTGGACTCATGAGAAACTCACTTGGCAATCTGGCAGTCCCACAGAGACGCCTGGTGAGACCCACAGCACGGGTCTGTCTGGCTGTCTGTACGCAGCACAGACAGATGCTGACAGCAGAAGTTGATATGGGAAGGGGGTGAGGAGCTTTTGGGGTGTGATCCCCAGTCTTCAAAGACAGCAGTTTTGTTTTTGCTTTAATGCAAAAAAATGAAAGAAAAAAAAAGTGCAGTAGTACTAGAAACACATAGCCAGGCTGACCTCTAGCTATGGAGAAGCTTGCAGAACTATCTTTGAAACATGGATTCTGCAGAGATGTGTGTGGTTGGTGCGTTTGGTTTAAACCTAGACCTATAGCTTTTCCTGATGCTTTCAATAAAATTTTTCAGACTTATAGAAAGTGGAACCGCCGAGATGGGACAGTTGGGAATGTGTGTGCACACACGTGGCTGTGTGTGCAAGTGTGTGTACATGCTAATGCATGACCCATGCCTCCCAGTTGTCATTATGAGCGTCGCTTAGGGATAATGACATTTTCCTGCACAAATCTGATTTTATCATAGTAGCTAAGAAAATGTACCATAATTCCCCAGTGTCATTCACCAGCCTCGATGGGCAATGCCAGCCCTCCCGAGCCTTCCCAGGCTACTGGCTTACAGCAACATCCCACTTTTATTTTCTGTCTGAGTGCTCCCTGAATTTCCTGCAGATTCGCCCCAGGGTTGGTTCTTAGGTCAGCTGCTGGTTCTACCTGTTGTCATCCTGAGCGATCTTCCGTATGCATTTCTACAAACCCTCGTATATGAAGAGGTGGACACGCCTCATCTGTCATTTTGCAGGAATTCCCCACAATTTGTCATTTAATGTTGTCCTATTTTTCCCTGTTTGAGAGTTTTCTGTTTTTGTTTTTTGTACAAGGGATTGAACCCAGGGGCACTTAACCCCTGAGCCACGGCCCCAACCCTTTTTTTTATTTATTTTGAGACAGGGTCTCACTAAGTTGCTTAGAACCTCATTTAGTTGCTGAAGCTGGCCTCAGAACTTGCTGTCCTCCTGCCTCAGCCTCCTGAGCTGCAGGGATTACAGGTGTGCACCACCACGCCCAGCAGCTTTCCGGTTCTTTATGTAGTTGATGTGTCTTTGCCTGGTACAGGTTTGGCTTTGTCAGTGAGATTATCCTGAGGTGGAGATTCTTGCCTGAGTTTCTTGCGAGGCAGACTGGGTTTGCTCTTCATATTCAGAGATGGATCTGTCTGCATGGTTACGGTGGGAGGGCGGTAGGGTTTCTGCATTCGGTTTGTGTAACCTGTTTATTGGATACTGTAGTTCTTCCTGTCTTTTTTTGGGGGGGGGGTACTAGGAATTGAACCCAGGATGCTTAACCACTGAGCCACAACCCCAGCCCCTTTTATGTTCTATAATGAGACAGGGTCTTGCTAAGTTGCTGAGGCTGGCTTTGAACTTGTAATCCTCCTGCCTCAGCCTCCCTAGCTGTGGGATTTCAGGCAGGTGCCCCCCTGCACCCGGCTTCCGGTCTTTATTGATAAATTCTGCCCACGGTGTTCTGGCAGCTTGCTGAGTATGTCCTATGTTTGGTTTGCCCTGGCCCTTTGACTGTCCTAGAGCCACAGCGTCACCTCCTGTGCCTTACAGGTGGGTCAGCCGAGGCCAGGGGCCTGAGGCACTGGTGTACAGATCTGAGCAGGACCCATGGGGCAGCACCCATCTGCTCTGCCCTCTCAGTCTGGCGAGAATAAACAATCTGTAAAATTAAATGGCACTGAATCACATCATCACCATGGAAACTCCGATGGTTTAGATGCTTTTTCTTTTTATTCAATTTTAGGACTTAGCATCCTTTAAGTTTCTGGGAAAAAATGAAGATGGCAAAGGAAGGTGTCCCTTTGACCCAGCACACAGCTACACGTCCGTCATGGTTGGTAAGTCCTGCACCCGCACAGCTACGTCCCCATGGCACACTCGGCTCCTCTTCCCTGCTCAGTCCTGCTACCCTGGGGGGACGCATGCGTCCCTCTGAACAGGCGCTTGAGTGAGGGCATCTGGACTCGAGGTTCATAACCAGCCACGTGGTGTGACACCTTGCTTTACGTGTGTCCTTGGACCACGTCCTGGGATGTGTGGAGTGGATGCCCCTGTTGGAGACCAGAGTTGCCACCAGACACACCTGCCGCGGGGGTCTCATGCGTCGGAGGCAAGGGCTGGGAGCCACGCAGGCACCCGAGGGGGGCATCACCTCGTTGGGAAGTGGGCCGTTAGGTGGCTGCACCCAGCTGCAGGCTGACATGGCGTTCTGCACACGCGTGAGGCAGGCGAGGCCCAGCCACGGGGTTGGGCAGGGGAGGCGGAGTCGGTGCGTTTTTGACCTAGGATGTCTTCAGTTCCCGGGGCTTATCTGGGCATGGCCCCATCGTAAATCGAGGAGCTGTCAGTCATTGCTGTTGGTTGGTTATCGCCTCTTAACTCGTAGAATGTGGCACCGGCAGTCATCCAGGTCGAGGGGAAGCACAGGACCTAGGAAGTGCGGGCACGCACCCCAGAGATGGGGAGCTGACTTTCCTGATGGGGGGTGGGGGGGTTGCCCAGGTGACAGAGAAATGGCGTTGAAGATCGTCCCGGGCCTCCATGCCTAGCGGGAGGCTGACTCCCTTCCCCCTTTCCTCCCGCCTGCTGCAGATGGAGAGCTTTATTCTGGGACATCCTATAATTTTTTGGGAAGTGAACCCATCATTTCCCGAAACTCTTCCCACAGTCCTCTGAGGACGGAGTACGCCATCCCTTGGCTGAACGGTAAGAGGCCCAGCCTCCTGGCGGGAGGGGCGCACCTTCCATTTCTTCCTTGGCTGCCTCTCAGTCGGGTCCCCAGCTGGTGCCAGCCCCTGGGCAGTGGGGATGTCTCCAGTGCTGGAGTTGGGGGCATCCCATTGAGTCCATCCAGAAAACAGATTTGGGAGGGTTTCATAAAAGTGAGACCCTGAGCCCAGTGTGGCGGTGCAGCCTGTAATCCCTGCAACTCGGGAGGCTGAGGCAGGAAGATCACAAGTTCAAGGCCAGCCTCAGCCACTTAGGCCCTCAGCAACTTAGGGAGACCCTGTCTTTCTAAGAAGGGCTGTGAGGTAGCTCAGGAAAGGGTTCCTGGGTCCCATCCTCAGTACTACCCCATCCCCCCAAAAAGTGAGATTCTGAGAGTAAAAGGAGAGCTCAGATAATCAGGCTGGGATGTGGTGAGGTTCCCAGCAGGACATTAAAGATGGAGCTCCCAATCCCCGGCCCCCAGCGCCCAGTCAGAGGGGTCGGGCTGCCTGCCGCTGCAGACAGTGCGGGTCTGATGTTTGGCTTTGGGGTGCCAGAGGTGAGAGACCCCTCGTGGGGGCCTTCCTTGCGGGTGTGGCTGGTGGACCTCTGGGCTTCTTTGAGGTCTCTTGATCTGAGGGCAGATTCCGAGGCCTGAGATGCAAGACGGCTGGCTGCTCCTCGCTGTGGGGCAGCCCAGGTCTGGCTCCACGGGGTCCCCAGGCTGCTTCAGGACAGGTGGGCCTGGGCCCGTGCTCTGCGGGGCCACCAGGGGGCGCCTCTCCAAGGCCGAGGAGGCAGGGCGGTGTCTGGGCTCCTTGCTGGAGTCTGGGAGGCACGCACAGGCTTCCCACAGGGAGGCCCCCGGCCTCCAGGCTGCGCTGGCTGGGGAGCGGACGGTGACACGGCTCCGTGTGGTCCCCGCAGAGCCCAGCTTCGTGTTTTCTGACGTGATCCGGAAGAGCCCCGAGGAGGGCGAGGACGACAGGGTCTACTTCTTCTTCACGGAGGCCTCAGTGGAGTACGAGTTCGTCTTCAAGCTCATGATCCCGCGTGTGGCCAGAGTGTGCAGGGTGAGTGCTGCCCCACCTCCCGCGTGCCCGCGGTGCCCGCCTGCGTGACGTGCGCCTGGATGGGGTCCCTCCCGGCTTTGGTCTGATAGGTCACTTTCCCTGCCATTGTGCCCCTTTGTACCACCATTTGGGGCCTCTCGGGTGCCAGGCCTTCCTGTCTCAGGAATTCTGGTGGTTTTTCTGGGGACAAGGGGGCCTTGGTACCCAACATGTGACTGATTGGCCAGGGGATTTGGAGATTTGATGCACCTTCCCCAGACCACCCCAGGCTGTGAAAAGCCAGGGTTTTTTTTTGGGGGGGGTGGTACCAGGGATTGAACTCTGGGGCTCTCGACCATTGAGCCACATCCCCAGCCCGTTTTTGTATTTTATTTAGAGACGGGGTCTCTCTGAGTTGCTTAGCACCTCACCGAGATCCTCCTGTCCAGCCTCCCAAGCCACTGGGACATGGTTTCGTGCCCCACCGCACCTGGCTGAGAAGTCAGTTTTTGTGGAATGTATTCACCAGACTTTTGGAATTGGAATTTCACCATTTTTCTCTCATGGTTTATAGTTAAGAGGCGAGAACTGGCACTAAATGTGACAGACACAAAGCTTCGAGTGCTCACTCAGGAAGCGAGGATGCTTTCAAAATAAGGAGCTTTAGCAGGTTCTTAGCACGAGAGAGCTGCCTCAGGGTAGAGCTTAGGAGGGGGCTCACATGGCAGTTTCAGGGAGGCAGGGCGAGAGGCCTGGGAAAGAGCCGTCCAGGACCTTGGAAGACAGCAGCAGTGGTCATTGGCCAGCTGCTCAGTTCGGAGCTGGTGGATACTTGTCCCCCGTGGAAGTCCTTGGACACACAGTTGCCACGTGGCCTCCTGTTGAGTGAATGCAGTGGGGACCTCAGGGTAGAGCAAGGGTCCTTGGGGAGTGATCACTACTGCCCCTCATGTCTTGTCTTGGGGATTTCAGGGGGACCAGGGCGGCCTGAGGACCTTGCAGAAGAAGTGGACCTCCTTCCTGAAGGCCAGACTGATCTGCTCCCGGCCGGACAGCGGCCTGGTCTTCAACGTGCTACAGGATGTGTTCGTACTGCGGGCCCCGGGCCTGAAGGAGCCTGTGTTCTACGCCCTCTTCACCCCGCAGCTGTAAGTGCCCTTAGTAGATGGGGTGCGTGCCCTCCTGGCTGCCCGCTGACCCCTAGGCGCTCACACAGCCTCCCTGTCCCCAGGAACAACGTGGGGCTGTCGGCGGTGTGTGTCTACAATCTGTCCACGGTGCAGGCCGTCTTCTCCGGTGGGAAGTACATGCAGAGTGCCACGGTGGAGCAGTCCCACACCAAGTGGGTGCGCTACAATGGCCCGGTGCCCACGCCGCGACCCGGAGCGGTGAGCGAGGGACAGGGTCCAGGGAGGGCTGAGGTCCCACTCAGGGTGCAAGGCCCACAGTGTGAACCTGATGCAGGTGCCCAAGCCTCCTGGCAGGTGGGTCACCTGGCCAGGTGAGTCTCTGCACCAGACCAAGTGCCCACGGAGCCCGGGAGGGCCGAGGAGCCCCCGCCCTCGAGTGTCCTTCTCTTCTGATGGTTGTGTGACGCTGTTGCCACACACAACCAAAATGAGGAGGCGTGTCCCCGGCGTGGACTGATCTTGGGAAATAAACATTGCATAAGACAGTTAGGTCCATTTCGTTTTCAGTTTCCTGCAGAGGATCGTGATTTCTTGGCAAAGACCTCTGCACCCTCATGAGCTGAGCTGTCCACTAATCACTAGAAGTCACATTTTTCCCCTCCGATAAAAGTAAATTTTAGGCATAAAGAAAATATTCTAGTCTGATCTGGGCACCCGCATGGTGAATTGGTGGTGACTTGGGTGTCTGTGACCAGCTCTCGCGTGGGGCTGTGACCTGGTCCTGAGAGCTCCCCCGGCCCACACCATCACTGCTTGTGTGCAGTAAAATGTCATTTGTCATCAATTTTGGTTTCTCCACATCAGGAAGGTAGAACTGGAAAAATCCTTCCAGCCTCTTATCCTTTACGCTGCTTAGGACCGGGCTGGTTTTGGGCAGTGTTTAGCGTGCTTCTCTTCTCAGGGGAAAGCTAAGCTTTTTCGTTTATAAATAGATGATTTCAGGTGGACGTCATTACCCTAGGTATGTGTATGATGGCACAAATGGTGTGACTCTACTTTGTGTACAACCAGAGAAGTGAAAGATTGTGCTCCATTTGTGTACAATGAATCAAAGAGCATTCTGCTGTCAAACATAACTGGGAAGAACAAATTTTTAAAAAATAAAATGAAATAGATAATTCCTCCACTGATCAGGTGTCCCAAAACACAATCATATCTTATGGATGTGCTTTCAAACCGTGTCCCCTTGTTCCTGGGAAAAGGCCACTTCAGTTACTCACTTTTTCCTGCTTCCTAGAATTTTGGTGTGTGGCTTCCGGTCCTGGGCCTGACGTGAGCTCTGAGCTCCAGAGGCCACACGGAAGCCGTGCTGGGTTGCCGGCGGCTGCGCGTTGACGACGGGTCGTTTTGCCCCCACAGTGCATCGACAGGGAGGCACGGGCCGCCAACTACACCAGCTCTCTGAATTTACCAGACAAGACGCTGCAGTTCGTCAAAGACCACCCTCTGATGGACGACTCGGTGACCCCAGTAGACAACAGACCCAGGTTAATCAAACAGGGTGTGAACTACACTCAGATTGTGGTGGACAGGACCCAGGCCCTGGATGGGACCGTCTACGACGTCATGTTTGTCAGCACAGGTGGGTCCCGAGGGCCTGACAGTCTCAGCGTGTCTGTCCTGGGGTAAGGAAATTGGGAAATGTCCTTAATTTTGTACGACTAGAGGCAGCATCTACCTCCAGATGGCCCCAGCCGATTGTGAAGGCATGAGAGGGTTTCCAAGAAGTCGCCATGCCTCAGCTTCCAGATCTCTGTGACCATCAGGGCACCCGGGACACTCATTAACCATGACCCGAATCTGGGCTGGGCGGTGCAGAGCTGTCCCTGTTGCCACAGAGCTGGGGTGATGACCGTGCCAGCTGCAGCTGCCTTTGCCAGCCTGCGAGGAACCGTCAGCGTGGCCTGTCCTGTCTGCTGGCAGGAGACCTTATTCCTGCCCTGCCAGGAACCAGACTGAGATGCCTGAACCTGCTGTGGGAGGCCCGCCTCCCCTACCTGTGTTTCTGGAATGGGGACAGTGGCCTGCAGCCATAATAGCTTTGAGTTTTGCAGCTGACCTTGCCTGGGCCCCACCCTCACCTGCCTGCCCTTGACCCCTCCTGACACTCCCCACAAGCAACCAGAGCGTGGGCGGAGGGCCACAGCCGCCCCAGAGAGCTCTGACTTCAACGTCATGGTTGTTGGGACCGACCTTGGAACAGGGGTTTATTCTTCATAAGAAAATTGGAATAACCCACAACTGGAGTTTCCAATTATTTATTTTGCCAAAGGCTTTTTAAAAACAGCGTGAAGCTTTTCTAAACACTTGTAGAGGGAGTGATTTGAGAGGGCAGAAGAGGGAGCATTTGCCACTGGGGCGGGTGTCCCGGCATGGTTGTCTCCTTGACCTGTGGCTTTGACCTTGCAGACCGGGGTGCCCTGCACAAGGCCGTGAGTCTTGAGAACGACGTGCACGTCATCGAGGAGACCCAGCTCTTCCGCGACTCCGAGCCCATCCAGACTCTGCTTCTCTCCTCAAAGAAGGTACGGTGGCCTGGGCAGCCAGGCGGGGTGGCCGTCCTGCTGGGAGGCTTTGCGTCTCTATCATCTGCGATTGGCCGGACTGGGGTCAGGCGCCTGGGATGGGCAGATCCCCGTCTCCTGGCCCAGGTGAACGGGCCTTCAGAGGCACCAGAGTCGATCCATGAGCAGCGGATCTGAAGCCTGTGAAAACACGTCCTGGTGCCCGGCGCTGGTGAGGTTGCAGACTGTCAGGGGTGTGACACTGGTGACTCATCAGCAGAGAAGTGACAGGCGGCCGCCACACAGCTCTCTCTCCACGCCAACAGGGTGCTTCCTCCCGCATCAGGGTGGGCAGACGTTTTCTGTCCGGGGCCAGAGGGTGGACACGTGAGGCTCTGTGGGCGAGAAGCCGAGCCCCAGCTGGGTGAGCGTCACACATCCCGAAGTGTTCATAGGTCACAAAATATTAATCAGGTTTTTCTCAACCCTTTGGAACTGGGGACCCCCTGAGCTCATAGAAGCAGCCAGGGGTGGGGGCTGGAGTCACCCTCTGGCTGCAGCCTGCCGTCCCCTGTCACACGTCCACACTGTCTTTGGGAGGAGGTGCCACTGTCCTGCAGCAGGTCTGGAGCAGGGAGGAGCAGAGTGTTGGCTGCTCCATCCAGATGCTGTCCGCTGCATGTGGCCGTGACCTGGGAGGCCCGTTGTTTGTTCTGTGCCCCAGTTTCCTCCCTGGGGCATGGGAGTGAGAGGAAGTCCCCCTCACTGGGTGGCTTCGAGGGTTCATCAGCCTCTTGAAGTGCTGAGGGCAGGGTGCTGGAGAACCCGGCGGCTGGGCAGGCCCCATGCTGTGACACTGAGCAGATGGACCCTGGGCCACATGGCCGTGTCCAGTGCTGGCCCTGGTGCTTGGCCCGTCTCACCAGCACCTCACTTCCAAAGCTCAGCTCTGGGACAAAGCTGAGATGTCACCTGTGTGCCGCCTTCCTCTGAGGCTGGGAGTCTCTGGTCAGACCTGCAGTTCCCCTGCACCCTCAGCAGGGGTGGGTGGACGTGCACAGGGGCTTGAGGGGCTGCCTCCCGGGCTTTCCTGCCAAAGGCCTCTACCCACGTGGTGGGGACCGGCCAGCTCATCCCAGCGGTGGGCAGAGGAGGGGCTTCCATCCCTCTGGCTGAGTGACACAGAGCTGGTCTCCTGCAGGTGCAACACTCCCCAAGGGTCTCCCAGCCTCTCCCCTTTAAGTGAGTCGCAAAGCTTGGAAGCTTGGGACTGGTTCTCAAACTCCTGTTCCCTGGCCACCTCCCCTCCCAGCCACTTAAAGTGCATTTGCCCCTCCAGTACTGAGAGGAAATGGATCCACATCAGTCAGTCACCAGCCACCAGATGCCCCGTGCCCGGCCTGGCCTCTCAGCCTCCCTTGCATATGGGGCCTGGGGGGCTCAGGAAGTGCTTCACCAGCCCCCACCCAGGCCTGTCCTTAGGAGTCCTCCTGGGGTCTTTGCTTCAACCAGGCTGGGGTGAGCACCCCGGAAGCCTCTGGAACGTGCAGTGTTCCGCAGAGGGGAGTCCATTGTGGAAGAGCTCTGCTCTGTGCTGTCACTTAGGGACCCAGGCTGGTGGGGGCGTGGGTGCCAGTTCTGGAAGGCATGGGGGTGGGTTCCTGTGTAGGGCGGTTACAGATCAGTCCTCTGTGGCTGCCCTCAGCCAGAACTAGGTGATGTGGCCACACCAGGAGGAAGGGCTGGTGGCTGTGTGTCCTAATGGACCACCAGTTTGTCCCAGTAGGAGCCTTGGTACCCGGGGACACGGCTCAGTTGTCAGGAGCAGGAAAGAAAGCATTGCATCCTCCATGGGGTCCCACACCTCTCCTCGGCCTGGGTGGGTGTCAGGGGCTTGGTACCACCACGGCAGCAGAGAGGAATGGTCAGCGGTAAAGGACTGTCCCCCCGCCCCTTGCAGCAGCAGCCCTCGTCTGTAGAAAGCTGATGGGCAGCGCCTCCGCCCCGCAGGCCCGGCACAGAAGGGCCGGCACCAGTGCCCTCCCTGTCCCTGGCCTGCAGCTGGAGCAGATGCGCCACTCCTCACGCGCTTCCTCTCTGGTGGCAGCGAGGCCTCTTGCTCTGCTGTGGCGAGTACGTGGGACAGGTCACCGTCTTACCCGTGCTCAAGCCAGCCTGGGTTCTGTGGCCCTCTGGCTCGAGGCCGTGATGCTGCTCTGAATCTGGGCGCGCACTCGTCTCTTCAAGTCCCTCCTGCGCTTCCCTGGGCACACGTAGCTAGGGCACCGTGCTCGGCCCGCTGAGCCAGAGGCCAGGCGCGTCTGTGCTCACCCGCCAGGACGCCCTGTGATGGTGAGGCCCAGCGTGTGGCCTGGGGAGCCAAGGAGCTCTGGAGCTTGTTCACCTCACCGCCCCCAGGGCTGCGTGTGCACGTGAGCCAGCAGGGACAGTCACCAGACCAGGGGAAGGAGAGGCTGGGCAGCTAGGAGCAGGGGAGTGCACCCCACTGGCACTGTGACACCCCCCCACACTTTCCCTCTTTCGCCGTGGTACGGCTTTCATTTTGAGGTGATTTGGATCTCCACAGACTAGCAGTGATAGACAGGGGTCCCTGTGCCCCCACCCAGCCTCACCTTGAGTGGCAGGTCACAGAGGCAGTGTGTCCTTGCCTCAACCAGGAGCTGTGGGGGACACAGTGCCGCTCACTGGCCCTCACACCCTGCACCCTTCACGCTGCCCTCCTCCTCCCAGGGCCTGGGATGCTTTTGGACGTCACACCTTCTCACGTCTCCACCTGTCCCTGGTCCCAGCCTGACGAGACCTGGCCAGGTGTTCTGCAAAGTGTCTGCCGTTTTCTCTTGACTGTCCCAGGGTGGTGGGTTTGGGGAGCACGCCATGGGAATGTCTCCTGCGTGTGCCCTCAACCGTGGACTCTCTGTCCAAGTCACCTCTGTCCTTTGCCTGCTCCATGCATCAGTGAGTGCAGCCCACACCCAGGGTAGGGAAGTCAAGCCCAGCACAGGGGAGGCATGGCAAAGAACTGTGGGCACATGTTAAAACCCGCGGTCACCCAGCTTGTCTACTCTGGGGACTTGTGACACGGGGAAGCTGCGGTCGGTCCTCTGTGTCTGTGGTTCCATATCTTTAGGCTTTGCCTTCACGATCCAGCCCACCTCGGGGCAGAAATATCCCAGAGCAAAACGCGTAGACAGACTTTTTCTTGTGACTCCCCCAATGGTGCCACAGGACAACTGTTTGCAGAGCCTTTACGCCGTTAGGTGTTTCAAGTCACCTAACGGGATTTAAAGCATTCAGCAGGGCGTGTGTAGGGTCTATGCTTAGGGAAGGGACTTGAGCATCCCCAGGTTTTGGAATGTCGAGGGGGGTCCTGAAACCTGCCCCCGACAGATAAGGAGAGAAGACTCCGCCACTTTCCCTCTCGCCCACCCACTGCACCTCCACCAGTGGGCCCGGCGGCAGCAGGCGCTGGTCTCCTTGGAGGCTTCTGGCCGCCTGCTCTTCCCTGTGGCTCTCCGGAAGCCTGTGGTGCCGTTCACATGGTACAGCTCAGCTGCAGCCCAGCTCTCAGGGAGAAGGTGGCGGAGTGTCCTGGAGAGCGGGAGGTCAGGGGCCTCCCTGGAATGGGCCCTCCCACCCTCTGTGGCCCTCAGCCGCCTCTCGCGGGGGGGAAAGCTCAGGCAGGGCTCAACTTGGCCTTTGCCCCGGGAAGCATTTGTGCGTTTTCAGGGTGCACAAGGTCTCCCCAGCTGATCCGGGAGTCGTCTTAGTCCCTCTGTTAGGTGGTGAGCGTGTGGTCACATCTGCTCAGGTCTGCAATGACAGGGACGGGCCAGGCCAGGCCCTTGCTGCAGCTGGTCATCTCAGCCTGCATCCTGGAGTGTGGGTGGGGGGTGTGCACACTCGTGCTGGCTCAGGCAGGGATGTGGCCCGGGACCTTCAGAACCTCCAGCACATGGGCCCTGGGTCAGCACTGGGGACTGCAGGCTCCAGGCAGCCTGAGGCCGATGCAGACTGTGACCTCGGAGGCTACAGATCACGCTTTGTCTGACTCTAAAATACTTCCATGTATGTGTTTGGGAATCTTTGGTGCTAACCAAAAGGTTTTCCAGGATGTTAACGTGAAGTTCCCAGGCAATGTGGAGAAAAGACCAGAAACCGCTGCCCTGTGTGTCCTTGTGGGGCACCGTCCCTTGAACTCTGTTTATTCATATTAAAAAAACAAAAAAAACAGTCGGCATGGTACCGTGGTGGACTTCTCTAACTCAGTGCCAGAGGCTGAGGCAGGAGGATCACAAGTTCAAGGCCAGCCTCAGCAACTTAGTGAGGCCCTATTTCAAAATAAAAACTAAAAAAGGCTGGGGATATGGCTCAGTGTCAAGCACCCCTGGGTTCAATCTCTAGTCCCTGCCCCACCCCCACCCCTGCCAATACCAGTTGTCCTGAATGCCGTGTGTGGGTATTCTGCAGTACCAGGTGGGCAGCGGGCGTTGACCTATGGAAGGCCTGCTCTGAGCACAGCTACACTGGAGCTCAGCGATGGATTTCTTCCTTATAAAGATAGATGTATGGAAAGCAGGTGGTGTCATTCCTTTTTGATTTGATTTTCTTTGCATAGTGTTAATCAGCATCTCCTTCCTACCTACGTGCTGGGCCCGGGAGCCCTGTCCCTCTGCAGGTATCGCATTCTGGCAGGAAGAACTAAGATTAGCCTTTAGACTCGCAGCTCACCTATAGTGAGGCCAGGAGGCAGCTTGGAGTGTTGGGCACGGGGGTCCCCCTCCAAAGCAGGGGGGACCCGCAAGGAGTCTGAGCGGCCTCAACCCCCAAAAGAGAGAGGTGCAGGAAAGCAGGGGGCACCCAGGTGGCAGCAGGTGCCTAGACAGGGGAGGGCGGGAGTCAGAGCAACAGCTGGATTCTGCTTGATCATGGACCATCGCCTTTGCTTTTGGACAGGCTATAATTAGCGTTTCCCTTAGGCCTCAGCGGCCTGCTTTGGTTCCCATTAGGGAGACCTTTCTTCTCTGACTCGGTGCTTGCAGACTCTGCACGTTCCCAGAATCTGGTGAAGAAGCTCAGCCCCTGCCGTGGAGCGTCTTCCTAACACCCGGCCCCACCTCTGTCTCCCACCCAGGGCAGGAGGTTCGTCTACGCGGGCTCCAACTCGGGAGTGGTGCAGGCACCCCTGGCCTTCTGTGAAAAGCACAGCAGCTGCGCGGACTGCGTGCTGGCGCGGGACCCATACTGCGCCTGGAGCCCGGCCACCGCTGCCTGCGTCGCCCTGCACCAGGCCGAGGGCCCCCACAGGTACGAGGCGGGTGCACCCATGCGCATGCCCCGGTGCCTGGGCAGGTGAGTGACGAGTGCCGGTTGTCTTGCAGGGGCTGGATTCAGGAGATGAGCGGCGACACGTCCCTGTGCCCGGGTGAGTGGGTTCTCAGTGACAGTCCCCTCAGCAGCGCCGGGTCCCTTTACCATTTCGAGGCACTTCGGTTCTGTGGCTTTTGTGTGCGTTGTGTTTTTCTTTCTCCACTCAGAACAGAGGTCAAGTGTCCTATATGAGACCCGTGACCTTTCTCTGTCCCTTTGGTTGCTGGAACAGGCTTTGAAGCGCGTGGGCTGTGTCATCTCGTGGGAAAGCACTCTGCATCCCAAACTGTCCTCTCTTGTCCTCTCTCTCTCTCGCTTGGGGTTTGTTAAACAAAACCTGAACTTTAGTAATGGGAAGAAAGGAGCCCGTGACCACAGGTTGAGTAGCCCTAACCCCCAAAGCCCCAAATTCGGAACTTTCCGAGTACCCACAAGGTAGACCACGGTGGAAAATGTCACGAAAACTTGGTTTCATGCACATAATGATTTAAAATATTGTGTAAAATCACCTTCAGGCTGTGTGTATAATTTCCACGTGAAATGTAAGTGACTTTTGTGGTTCGACTTGGGTCCCCTCCCCAAGACGTCGCATTGTATATATGCGAATATTCCAAAACTGGAAATCTGGAACACGTGTGGTCCCCAGCATTTCAGACAAGTGATACACAGCCTAGAATTAGTGGGGCTGGCTGGCCTTCCCCTTGAGGATGCTACTGCCTGCCGCCAGCCTTCGGGAAGTAGCGAAGTGACCAGAGGCAGGGGAGGGATCAGGCCAGGACGTCCTACCCACCTGTGCCCTCAGCTCCGTGCCCTTCCTCCTCAAAACAGCTGTCCTGAGAGGAAGAAAAGTGCAGGTGCGGGGTGCCAGGGAGACCGACAGCCAGCCTTCCCGCTGCCACTAGCAGGAGCATTGATGGCTGGGTGCAGGTGCAGGCTGGCCTGTGCGCACCGTCCCCTGCCTTGTGTGTCTTCTCCTGGGACACAGGGTTGAGAAACGGGATTTCTGCTGTTCAGAGCTGTCTTCACTTTCCTTTGT